GCAGCAGCAGCAGCAGCGGCAGTGGCGGAAGCTATGGCAGGAGCAGAAGCAGCAGCAGCAGCAGTAGCAGAAGGAGAGCTGCTGGTGGTGGGGTGCTGTTAGTGGCAAAAGCCTGGGTTATGGCCCTTTCAGCTTCCGATGCCCGCTCTGCGCAGGCGACCTGGTCCGGCTTGGCACAGACAGCCGGAGATGTCCTCGCGGCAGTGATCATGAAAATTCAGAACTGCTTCCTGGTTTGGCTTGCTGATCAAAACGACGATGACACGGTGGTGATGCTTGCGGTGATGAGTTATGAGTGATTACGGTTCTCGTCAGTACGTCGGGGTAGTATATTTTTTTGCTTGCTTGCTTTCTATGATTTCCGTGTTGTGCTTGCCTCTTGTCATTCAGGCCGATATAGATAATCGACCGCAGGGTTCTGGTTATCAGTGTCCTTACGCCACAGCGTGTAAATTTCCGCACTTCTGACGGTCGGTTTGAGGAATACGAGGCTTGTTTCAGAACGAAGAGCTGGAACGTGTCGCAACAAGTATTTTTGCCTAGAGCCTGAAGGCCAACAACCGTAGATCGCAGGGTTGTCATTGAGGCTTCAGCCAGAAAAGCATCGATGATGCAGATCAGTACTCCAAAGGCTGGACTCGGATTAGCGCGGCATTCCTTGGGTATCTTTCACGGCTTTGGAGAAAGGGGCTGCAGAGGGAATTCGGTACCCTCTTCGTTGCTCTCCGAGACCCCTGATGCGTTTTCTTCAGCTCAGGGATTTAGGCTTGGATGTTCGGTTGAGGCTTGTTGTTTCCCCAGAAAGTTGATGTCCTGGCAACCTTGCACGCCGAGCTCTGAACCTGGGGGCCGTGGGGGCCCTGTTTGGGGCTTCTCGAGGCGGATCTTCCTGGCTGCTGGCTTCTGTGCTGGGGAAGCCGTACATGCTCTCAGCCGCCGGGCTCTATTGGCACCATGGACCTTTGAAGTTCGGGGTGGGGGTCCCCTTTCCCTTTGTAGTTGTTGCGGCTTGGGATGAGGGATAATTGGTCGGAACCGGGGACAGGAGTCAGCACCCACCCTGTACTACATACCATCCGGAGCAGCCGTGTCCTAGAATCTGCTTACGCGGGAACCCTTCGTCTTGGCTTAGTGGTCCCAAGCTGGCCGGCCTTGGGAATGTGCCTTCGCAGCTAAGCGCCCAAACTCACCGCGACGGGCTCCAAGGACTCCCCCTCAACAATCCTTTAAAGAAGTCTTTGAAAGTCCATCAGAGCCCCCTTGCCGGCTCAACCGTATGCCTAGGTGTGCCTCATCCCTAAATCGTAAGCCTACAAATCGAAGTCGCTGAGGTCGGGTGCCTCGCGTATTCGGCAGTTTGCTTTGGTATGACATCGTCATCGCTGGTCATTGCGATGACGTCGCAGGCATTCCGGGAATTGAAATGGCTCGAAGTTTGCACGTCGCATGGGTGCTGCTGCTGGTGGTGCTCGGGGTGCTGGGGCCTGTGGTAGTAGGAGGAGGACGAGGAGGACACGTAGTAGTGAGAGTAGGCTTCGTCGTCATCGCAGTAGCAGTAGGTCGTAGCAGCAGCAGTCACAGGAGGAGCAGGAGCAGCAGGAGGCAGCGGCAAAGGCAGTAGTAGTCGCAGCAGCGGCGGCGGTAGCACCACTACTACCACCACTACTACTACTACTACTACTACTATTATTATTACTACTGCTATTTCTGCTACTACTTCTACTACCACTACTACCAGCCACCCCCCCCCTCCCACCAACTACCTGGCGCCTCAATCCACCACCATCATCGGTCATCATCATCATCATCAGCATCATCATCATGCATCATCATGCTTCTTCTTCTTCTTCCTTCGCAGCCTGGTCCCGATCCGGCTAGCGAGCGCCTCAAGGCGATATTATCGCCCCGTCCGCTCTGTGGCGGAGTGGCACGTATGCTCCGTTGAGCATGCCTCTCTGTTCAGGAGAGGTTGCGCTGATACATATCTCAGGACTCGATAAGAACTTGCTTCGAGAGCAGAGTCACTCAAAAGTGTGATTAAACAGTTGGACGATCAACAATCAGTCATCAAGCGTGTCCAAGGCTGAGGGCATGAGATCAGGCGTGACCTTGTTCCGGCCTGGCACTGCTAGGGTGGGCGGCAACCTGGTTATCAGCCTTTGGATGAGCTCCTCCTGCTGATCGAGCCTCTGCTGGAGCAGGTGAATGTCTAACGTCAGTCGACGAAGCCAGGTCTCCAAGAACTCCTGATGGCTGCTGAGCCAGGTCTCTCGCATACGATGCATCACAGATATGGAGCTGCCCGTCTCCAGCATAGGTTTGCGATGGCACTACAGCTACGTGGGGGAAGCTAGGGCCAAAAGATTCACTGGAGACCGAATGCATTTCAGGGCCGATTCTCCGGCACAGCAAAAGAACATATGCAGAAACTGATGTGTCTTCCAGCTCTTCGGCCGTGGCTGCGGCTGGTGTTCGATCATCGTCCAGCAAGTAAGGCTGTCTACTGTTGACGAGAACCGTGTAGCGCCCTGAGTGTGGAGTATGGCCATGATGTCTGATGTAGCAAGCAATGTTGTATGTATGCCATGTCACCTGAAAAGTTCCCGGCTCACTGAAAGTCGGGAGTCGGACAGCTCCTGCCAAGATGTATGGACGGTGGGTTTTGCAGACCCTCCCGGAAATTACCTCAAACCTGGGCAACTGCACAAAGAGCCACGGCGGTAGCACGTCAAGAGCGTGCAACGACTCCTGCTGGTGCCAACAGTTGATCAACTCCTGCAGGTCTGGGCGATGCACGGGTGGAGCGGGGAGTCCAAGACATTTACACAGCGTGCCGGTATGGCGTGAGCTGACCTCGCCCGTGGGCGTGAGAGCACGGCTGCTCCATGTTGATACCCCCCTCGGAGCGACCTTGGGAAGCAGAAAATCAAGGAACTCGGCGATGTCGTGTTGTCTCCCGGCGCCCTGCCACCCCAGAAGAAGAAACCCCAGCGAGCGGCGCGCTCGCATCCCCGGTCCTGAGAGGGCGGCCACAGCCCTAGGCAAAAGATGCACTGTTTGTGTGCAGTGCGCAGCGTACCACACGGCATACACAACAGCATTCATATAGCAGGCATGGCCATCATTGCTTAGGGTAAACGGGGGGGGGAGGCAAGGAGAAGAAGGGTGCTCCTGCTGGCTCACCTGAAAACCGACTCCGCCAGCTGTTGCACAATCGCCGCGCGGCGCGGCAACTCCCGTTTGAGAGAAGCACCCACCAACATCAGCGCCGAGACCCCTATCATCTGAACCAGGTGCTCGTGCACCTGCTGCGCCACTTGGCCGCGGAGGGAAATGGACAGGAAGAAAGTCGCCGTCGAGGTGGTGTCCTCCATCTCGTTGATCCGTGGCCGGGAGGTGAACTTCTGGACAACGTCTCCTCGCAAGTTCTCCAGAAGGTAGTCCACCTTCTCCAACAGCGCCGGCTGCGCGATCGCTTCTCGGTCGCCGTCCCGTGCCAGCTTCTTCTCCTGATGGTTCCACTTGAAGAAAGTCCACTCCTCGGCCTGATTCATCCACTCGGCAGCTTGCAATTTCTTTACCGACTCCGGCGTGGAGGTCATGAGAATCATGAGTTCCCGCAGTCGGCGGAATAGGCAAGCCATGAGCAGGGTCCGCAGCGGTGACTTGAGCATGTGATCCTTTGCCTCTTGGCGTGCATGCCAGTCCTTGGAGATCTGGATGAGCGCCGGAATGACGCTCACCTCCGGGTCCTCGCGCAGGAAAAGACAGAAGCCTTTGTCTCC